TATATGCTCAAATTTTGAGGAAGAATTATAATACCTGTTGTGACATAGCAGGAAGTAGAGGAGCCAACAATATTCATTAATCCAATTGCAATCATCTCTTTGTTTCCATCCACTTGATAGTTTTTTAAAGCAGCAAAAGTCCTTCCAACTGCAATTCCTTCCTGTTTGAACACAATATATGCACAATTACAACATCATATTTATGTCAAAATAGTATGGGCTAGACATTTTTCGCACAGAAACAGAGTTGTTAGAATAAACTTACAGTGAGTGAAAGGATGCCAGTGACAATGCCTGTTTTAATTACAAGCACCAAGTAGCTTCCATGTAAGTGTAACATGTTCCATGAAACAGGGTTTAATCCTTTTTGTAGTTCTCCAATCTACCATTAGTAACAAAAATTTAATAATCGGCAACCATAAAAAGTGTAGATACTATAGTCAAAAAAATAAAGAGAAATATATATTTTTAGTTGTTCCTAAAAATAATAGCCGATAAAATGTATATATTTTTTGTATATATATTTATTATATACATATAACATACATATTTATATACTTTTTGGTTAGCAAATGCAATTAGCTCCGGTCAACTGACCATTTTTGTATTTTGCCCAAAAATAAATTATTACGCGTTACACTTGACTAGCACTAGTTAAACATGTAGACACTTAGTTAGCCTAAGACGTCTAACTTAATATGATTTATTTTAGTTATATTGACAACCATTATTGATATAGTGAATTTATTATTTAGAGAAACTTACAACACTGATGCCATGCTTCTGAGCTTTTAGTGCAAAGACCAGCAGTGTAGAGATAATCACTGATAGAAGAGGAGCTCCAGCTGAAATCCAAAATAATTTTGGTTTTCTTATGCTCTGCATTACAAAAAGTATGGGATATTCATAAGTTATCAATGATAGAATTCCATATATCATGAAGAGACAAAGATGCTATAAAATTTTCAAGAAATTACATATCGGCGAAGCCAAAAATTCCGTTAATTTAATATACATATATAAAAAGTAATTTTTAATTTATATACACAGAATAATTTCTTATATATAGAGTATATTTTTTCGATAAAAGATGTTCAACTGCTCAACCACTCTTCAATTGAGTTACTACATAATAAGTGTGAATTCGATTTTTACTGTCCCTTTTCCCTTCTCCTCCCCGATCTTCCTACGAAATTCTCAGAAAGAAAAAGAACAAAAATACTTACTATGTGTCTGGTCAATAGGAGGAAAACCAAGAAGCAAAATCCCATTAATATTGTTTGCCAAGACCACTGCACAAATACCACATAAACACAGCTGTTAATTATTCATTGAGTTTAACTTATATACATTGACGAATTAAATATTTTTACACTATTGGATCATTTAAATTAAAGAGTGAAAAAGGATTACACTAACCTCATTTGTCCTGTGGAAAACAGAACTTAGAACAGGGATTATTCCCATTTGTTTGGTAAAATTTGTAATACCAAGAAGACTCTTGAGTTGTTGTAGAGACACTATAATGGCAGCTCCAGCCATGAATCCAATCAGTGTTGCTTTTGAGAGAAAATCAATTATAAACCCAAGTCTGCAATTAAAGAAAATGAAAGCAAAAACTCATATATCAAATTAAACATAAGTTCATAACCGATTATCTATCCCTCAATCATTTCCGGTTTTATTTTTGCTAGTAGAGTAACAAATAACGGGTAAAGAGATCTTAAGAATAAAACTATTTCACTTTTTTTTTTTTAAAACAATACAGTCATTTATTACATATTTTTCTTTTCAAATCAGCCCTTACTAATTCAATTAGTGTAGTGTTAATAAATTAAATATTTAAGAGAGATAAATGGTAGTTTAAACAATATATTTACGATTAAGGGTATTAATTTTATTTTTAAGGAATATGCAAAAATTTTAAAAGATAAATAATATATGGACCGAAGGTATAACATATATATTTATGCCTCATTTTGATTTTTCAAGCTTCTACCTCCCTACTTAATGATATTTTTCTTTTTTTTTTGAAACAGAATAGGGAAGAGAGAGATTTCCAAACTTCTTGTCCCCCTTTAATCCTGTTTGGATATATTAACAGTGTAAGCTTATATATGCAAACAGTGTATCTTAATAGTATGTTATAATTATTTACTCTTTTCAACTTATTATATCAGATTTGCTATAAATAATCACTTATAGTTGTGGGTAACTTAATATAATGGTATTAAATAATAATATTATGTCGACGATCGGTACAAAGAAGTTAAAGGGTGTGTTTGGTAAAATAAATTATTTTCTTACTTATTTTCTAGCGTTTGGTTAGGTAGCAGAAAATATTTTTGAAAAATATAGTACTATAATTTAAGCAAATACTATGGAAGACGAAATACGAAATTGGTAAAGGTGAGGGAAGGTGGTAGGTCGGGGTTGCCGGATCGCGAGGGTAGGGGTTGGGAGAGGGATGGAT